TGATTTTTATTTTATTGAATTCAAAAAATGAAGATCCTCATTGTTCTGGATTTTTTTTATTTTTGTGTTTATAATAATACTAGAATGATAGAATGCTAGAATATTGGGAGAACAAATTGCACATTAAATATTAATGGATGGCCAAATATATATCAGAAAATGGAATTTATCATTTTGTTTTAATATTATTCTATTAATATTTTAAATTTTATATTTATTTTTTTTATATTAATTCTATATTGATTCATAGATTTCTACCAGAACAAAAAAACAATTTGATTTGGATAAGTAAAAGATTTTATGAATTCACAAAAAATTATAATATATTCCCACATAATGAATCATTAAGTGGAAGAAATTTAAAAATGGATTCTTTCTATGATGTAATTTAATTTTATTAAATTATGAATATGTGGTAAATAAGAATAAATTATTGTATATAATCTATTTATTGCAGTTACTTATTGAAAAAGATGTTACTATGGAGAAATGTCAAAATCCAAGAACATCTTAGATGGTTTTCTCGAACTAACAAAATAAAAATTATATTGTATAATTATGATAAATATTATAGTTTAATAAAAAATCAGAATATCATGCAATATTAAAAAATATATATGTTTTTCATTTTTCATATAATAAAATAATAAATAAATATACCAAGAAAAGAAAAAAAATATTAAATGATTTTTTATTAGATTCAAAAAAAAGTTACTATAAAAATGTAACTTTATTCAACATGTCTCATCTTAGAAAATTTTATTTTCATGGATCTGATGGTCAAAAAGCAATAAATTATTTGTTTATAAAGCAAATATAAATCGTAATTATAATAAAACAATTTATATTTGCATGTGTTAAATTATACTTTCATGTGTTAAATTATACTGGAAGAGTAGATTCCACTGTGACAATTTTAAAATCTGGATTAGATGGAATTATAAATTCAATATTTAAAGAAAAAAACTTTTATATTGGTATTTTTTTTATATGTAGTAAAATCACTATTGGAAATTATGAAATAATAATTTTTTTATTTTTGTTATTAATTTCAAATAACATGTTAGCTTATCATATATAAGTTTATACAAAAAAAGTAAAATAGAAAATGACTTTAATGTATCTATACATAATGTTACTGAATATATCAGTATTTTATCTGTTCAAGGTAAAATAGGTAATAAATATATTATATTTAGATTATTAAAGTCTAGATATTAATATATAATAAATTTAGATATTAATATATAATTTATAGCAAAAATATAATAGAAATGTTAATTGAAGATAAAATATCAGAATCTTTCAAATCATTCAACTACAAATTAAAATAGTAAAAATTAAAAACAAAATTATGCATTTGATTAGATTTAGTTTTGTTAAAGAATTTGATTTTGAATTAAATATTTCAAAATAATCTTGCCAATTGATTTATAAAACTTCAATAAATTGCAGATTATATAAAATGAAACATATCAAGCATTAGTATTATAGTCTCAGTTATGAAAAGAATATATAGTAATATAATAGCGGAAAAATACTAACTTTTATTTCATAAATATATATTATTAACATTAATAATAATTATATATCTTTCAAGTTATCAGTATCACTCTTCGAGATTTGGATTTTAGAATAAATCATAATTCAATAGAAGCTAATTTCGAATTATTTGTCATAATACTAGCAGATATTTAGAAAAAATAATAGTTAATCAATTATGAAAAATTGCTATAAAAAGAAATTGTTGCATATCTATATAAAAGATATTCCAAAATATAATTTTTATATTCTTATTATTAATAAAATGATAGTTTCATTCCATTGGAAATTATTTATAAAAATAAATGTCTTATTGGTTATTTATACAGAATAGAATATGGATATAAAAATATTATAGGTAAATAAAATATTATGTTAAAAAATTATAATTAATATTAATTTCAAGTACATCAAATATTCAGAAAAGGAAAATATAATAAAAGAATATCTTTAATATAGTAATTATGAGATTGAAACTATGAAAAAACAATATATAATGAATCTTTATTTTTAAAATATATTTGATTCTATTAAAAGATTATTTATAAAATTTAAAACAAATATAATCAACAATTATAAAATTTAATTAACACATTTACATTTATCCTGCTAAAGGATTAGCATGTATAGTTACATTGTTTATTCGAGTCTCTGTAAGAGGTCTGTAATTTTTTGGATTTACTGGCAATTTTTCTAGTTGTTCAAGGGTTTCTAAGCCATCTATTATCCTAAAAAATAACAACTAATTTGATAATTAAATTATATAAATTACATAAATATAATAGATTTAAATAACTTTAAGATTAATATAAATTTAAAAATAAATATAATTACTTTCCAAATAAAGTATATTTTAAATCTAAGTGTGGTTGAGGCCCATATGTTATAAAAAATTGACTTCCATTTGTATTTGGACCATTATTAGCCATAGAAACAAATCCTCTTGCATTATGTCTTAATTCTTCTTTAAATTCATCTTCAAATGGACGATTCCATATTGATGTTCCACCTTTACCAGTATGTGTAGGATCTCCAGTTTGCACAATAAATCCTTTTATATTTCTATGAAATAAGCAATTGTCATAATAATTGCTAGCACACAAGGCAAGAAAATTCTGTAAAATTATTTCAATATAAATAATTCTTAGAAAATTGTTACAAAACAAGAAAAAAATCTTACTTCACACGTTTTTGGACATAGTTCACAAAATAATTCAATTTTTATATCCCCAATGTCAGTATGTAATGTTACACTCTGTAAATAAAAATTGTGACATATACATATGTATATATATATATATATGTGTGTGTGTGTGTGTGTGTGTATATATATATATATATATAAAGTATAATTATGAAAGCTAATTCAAATCAACAATAGAAAAATAACATTCATACCATTTTCAATGTAATCATTCATTAATTTAATTTAGAGAATAAGATAGATTCTTATATATAAAAAAAAGGAAATGTACATATGTATATATACAAACTTAAGCTACCATATTGAAAATTTATAGAATTACCAACGAAATCAAATATATGAATATATTTATAAATAAAATTAAATTTAAATTGAGGTATTAATTTAAATAAATTATAGAGAAAATAACAAAAATTGAAAAATATATCTAAAATAAAGAAATATATTTGAATCATTTATAAAGAATATAAATTATTTTATGAAAGATATTCAAATATTTGTAACCAACTTGACTTTAGTTCAAAACGGTAAGGAATCGTAGCAGCGCCACTTATTTCTGCTGAATCTTCCGCTCATTTCTTGTTACAAATAACGGTTAAGTAAAAAAAGATATCGAATATTGTGGCACAGGTTTAACTTGTAAAAAGCATTATATAATATTATTTAAATTGAATATAAAATTATATTCTATATAATAAGTGAGAAAAAAACTTAATTGTGAAATTTATTACAAAAGAGAGTGACAAGAAAACCTAGACGAGTGGCGCGTCTGTGCAAACGGCTCCTCTTTGGTTGCATGACGTAATTGTATTGATCGCGGAAGAAGAGCCGAAAGTCGCGCATTCGCCATCTTGAACGAATTGTGGAAAAGAAGTTTCTGTGTCTCGCAGGCGCGGTACACTTATAATAATTGTAATCCGTGACAATCCGGACATTAATTAATTTAACTGGGAATTAACCCTTTTGTGAATTAGAAACCCATTTGGAGCGGACCAAGGCAAGTCATATTTCTTTGATTTATTTCTTCGTCCAAATCTTTTTTTCTAAGTAGAAACATATCCAACTTTATGGTCTGATCATTTAATTTCAAAAACTCTCTTTTGATTTATATCAGTAATATAATATTTTTTAAATCTTAGTAAGTTGTTAATTTTATTAAGTTTTTCTTATTAAATTTTATATACACTTTGACGTGAATCTTTTTGTTTTGAATTTTCATGATTTTGACATTGCAATTTTAAAATTGAATTTAATCTTTATATTCCAATTATTCTATATATTCTTAATTATAATTTTCATTTATTTCATTTCAAATAATCCATTACTTTGTAGATTGTTCTCTATTTTTTATCAATTTATATTTCGTGCATCCCTTTTCTTCTCATAATAAAAATTAGTGAAACTTGTCCGCTTTCTACTTTACATCTTACATCTTACCTTGCATTTCACACATTGAGTTATCTTTTCTCTTTTGTAATATTTAAGTATTATTCCAATCAATTTCATATTTTTATACTTATATTATTAATATATATATTTTTTAATATAATAATTTATGAAGAGTAATTTATCATTTATTTTTTTGTCTAATTTTATGATTATTTGCAATTAATTTTGTTTTCTTACATATATATATATATATGTAAAACACACATAAACGCGCGCGCGCACACACACACAACTATATATATATATTTTTTTGTAGATTTTGTTTCAATTGTTAACTTCTCATTTAATTAATTAGAACTTTTTATAGACTTTTTGTAAATTTAAAATGAGAAAAATTTAAATATATTAACATTTTCATTTTAATATATATAGAAAATAAAAAAAAAATTAACTTTATATTTTTATATCTTTTCTTTATATAAAATATTTTTTTATATATTAATGTTTATAAATATTAAACATAATAAAAAAATTATTAATCATAATTCATCTAAATGAATAATGCATAATAATTATAAATATTTTAAAAATAATTTGTTTTTATAATGGACTCAAGAGATTATTTTGAATTTTTTTAATGAAGTCACATAATTTTATTTCCATCATATAAAAGACATTAAGATGAATTGAATAAGTGATAAAATATGTTATTAAATTTATAAAAATTAATATTAGATTTATAATAGTAATATTTATAATAGCAATAGTAATAATATTTTTTATTCAATCTATTTTTCAATTTATGATGGAAAATATTATATAATTTCATTTAAAAAACTTTTAATCTTTTCATCTAAAATACTTTTAAATTTTTCTATGAAATATTATTAAAAAATATTATTAATGTATAAATGATATTTATTGTTGATATAAATATATTGTTGATTTATTAGTTTATATTAATAAATTTATATTAATAAATTTTTTATTATATTTTAAATAGATTAAAATTATATAGAATTTTAAAGTGTAAATATATTCACATAGATAAAAAATTCATTCTTTAGATACATTCTTTTTGATAAAGAATTATTTGAAATATTTTTCATGACTTTTATTTTTATTTTATTAAATATAATTTGAAATAATGAAAATTGTTATGGAATATAAAATCATATTGATAAAATTAGCTATATAAATATTATTTATAATTTCAGACAAAGGGTTCGTTCTTTGGGTCTGATTGGTACTAAATGGTTGCCTGCAGACAGCATGTCTACTCTGTCAGGGCTTGTGTCGAAGGGGGAGAAAGGAAAATCCAAGTTTCAATCATTAGACATCAATAGCTTGTATCGGGTGAGTAGGGTGAGTTGGCCAAACATTTTTTTCTTTTTTTCTCCCTTTTAATTTATTTTTTTTTATTTCTTTTCTCTTTTCTTTGACTTTTACTTTTTTTTTACACAATAATATTTTAATATTAATTAATTAATATTAATTTAATTAATTAATTAATTAATTTTATTAATTAATATTTACACAATTTTTTTTTACATAATAATATTTTATTAACTTTTTTATTTAATTTTTATTTGTTGTTGTGGAATCCCCAACAATTCCTAAATTTGAGATTCCAGTTTTTGAGGTATATATATTTTAAAAATTTAAAATATAATCTAATATATAATAAAATATAATAATAAAATAAAAAAATAATAAATATAATATATCATAAAATGAAAATTAAATAAAATACATTTTTTTTTATTTTACTTACAAAAAATATTTTTCTTTTTTC